GTTTCTAGAAGTCCTTTTCCTACTCTCTAGTTCAGTCCCACTCTCCCTAGGGCGGGTAGGACGTTCCAATGCAAAGCTATTTGAACTACTCCTCTTGCCTGTGATTCATTGTTGTTAGTTACCTTTGAGTAGGCTCCGACTCCTGGTGACCCTGTGTGGTGTATTTTGAGTGCCTTACAACCAAAGGGGCTTATCTTCCAGCACTGTATCAGACGATATTCTGTTGTGGTCCATCGGGTTTTTGTTGGATAATTTTCGGAAGTAGATTGCCAGGCCTTTCTTCCTAGTTTGTCTTAGTCTGGAAGCTCCACTGAAATCTGTCTACTATGGGTGACACTGCAGGTATTTGAAATACTGATGGAATAGCTTCCAGCATCATAGCAACACAAGCCACCAGAGTATCACAAACTGACAGGTGGTGGATTAGTTATTGACCACTTATGGTTAGGTCGTTCTAGGCGGTCGGGAAAAGCAGGCAAGCAAGCAAACAAATAAAAATCCATGCCATCGTGACTCTTACAATCTAGTGGAAGGAGACAGATAACAAACGAGATAAACAAGGCACACAGCACGCTAGATGGGATGCGTGCAGTGGAGAAAAAGAAAGCAGGACAGGGCGACTGCGAGCGCTCGTCAGGTCAGAGGGAAATCGGGGCTGTGTGGCTGTTTTCAGAGAGTGTTCCAGGCAGAGAGAAGAGTCCACGCCATGACCCTGCAGTGGAAGTTTGTCTGGCACGTTGGCAAAACATCAAGGAGACAAGTGTGGCTGGTGAAGCATGATCTGGAGGAAAAGCAGCAGACGATTACTTCGGAGAGTATCAGAGAGCCTAATCGTGTAGAGCTTTGTAAAGACTGTCTTCTACTCTAAGTGAGATGAGAAGCACTTGGAAATGTTATGCAGAACTATTACATGATTTAACTGGATTTATACTTTCCAATGGCTGTGTGGAGAAAAGACTGAAAGGGGAAGAAAGCAGAAGCAGAGAGATTAAATGAGCCAGCTATGGCCAACAACCAGGAGAAAATAATGATGATTTGGACCAGGTGGTAGGACTGGAGGTGGTAAGTGAGAGTTGGATTCTGAATATATTTTGAAGATAGAGAAAACAGGATATGCTGACAAATGGGATGTGGGGTGGATCACAGTATGGGTGGAGGGGAAAGCCGGGGAATCTGACTTATAGTTTCCGCTCCAGCACACATGTACAGTGTTACTTTAGGAAGGCCACTGAAAGGATTGATGCCTCATTTTACACATCTACAAAATGGGCTTAAATACCTTCCTCACCTCACAAGGCTATGATGAGGCTCGGTTGAAACGATGTCTGTGCAGGTTGGCTCTGGAGCCAGTTGGAATGGAATTACAGCTCTGTGTGACCTGGTGCAAGCTAGCCTGAGCAACTGTGGGGAGGCTGAGACCAAATCTGGACTATCTGGAGAACAAATACAGAAACTTTAAAAAAACAAAAACATTATTGTTGTGAGGAAATAAATTAGAAAGCTTTATTTTAAAAAGTTAAATCCCTTTCTTGAAAAGCTAAGAATAATCACAGAAGAAAGTTGGTTTAAGAAAATTGTCTTAGCAAGAATGTTATGATTCCTAGAAGTCATATGAAGTTTTTATCCTTTCTGAACCTGGACTGAGGAACTGTCACCTCGTCAGTGATCAATGACTGCATACTACCAAAACAAGCCCCACCTTCAGTTTCAGTTCTAAGAACAAAGGCCTCTCTGCTTTCACAGGTTTACCACCTTGGAATTTTTCTAAATTTTCTCTGAGAAATACGTGAACAATTATTCGAAGTCAATCAAAAGTTTAGAACTTTCCCAATCTTGCCTAAATGTGCAAAGCACAAGTGACTCCTTTCCAATTCACTAATGCAGAAAAACCACTCCTAATTAAAGAGTTCAGATGACTTAATGGGGGTGTGGTTTGGTAAGTCCCTTCCAGGGGTTAAGAAGGCAGGAGTCACAAAGAGAAAGCAAGACTGTGGTGGTGCACCCTGACCAGCTCTGTCAGGCAGAGCATGCTCTGAATTATGCTTTCCCCCTCCTCTATTTCTCTACAACCCTCCCAAGTCTTCTCCATCAAAGCTTACTTATCCTGTAGCCACGCCTCTCAATACCCTGTTTAAAACAAATAAACAAACAAAAAAACAGTTACTGTGGAGTCAGTTCCAACTCGTGGTGACCTCATGTGTGTCAGAGTAGAACTGCGATCCATAGTGTTTTTAATGACTGTGACCTTTTCAAAGTAGATTGCCAGGGCTTTCTTCCAAGTTACCCCTGAGTGAATTTGAATTGCCAACCTTTTGGTAGTAGCTGAGCACTTAATTGTTTGTGTCGCCCAGGAACTCCTAAACCAGTTGCGCTGGAATAGATTCTGAGTCATGGCAACACCATGTGTGTCAGAGTAGAACTGTGTTCCATAGGGGTTTCAGTAGCTGATTTCTTAGAAGTAGATCATCAGGCCTTTCTTCCAAGGTGCCTCTGGGTAGACTCAAACTTCCAACCTTTTGATTAGCAGCTGAGCAAATTAACAGTTTGCCCTACTCAAGGAGTCCAATACCCTGCTGTTGTTATTGTTGTTAGGTGCCAATGAGTCGGTCTGAACATGCTTCTTGATTCTTCTTCCACAACTTATATTTGGAGATGTCTTTATCTTCTCATTAGATGTAACCAAGCCTAAAACATGCTAAAAAAAGAGATGCCTTTCAAGCAGGAGATAACTCTAGATCATATTTAATACAGTTGAAGATCAAATAAATTTTTACCTATGTATACCCTGGTATCGTAGAGTTGATTCCGGCTCACAGCGACCCTATATGACAAAGTAGAATGTCCCCATAAGGTTTCCTAGGCTGTAATCTTTATGGGAGCAGATAACCAGGTCTTTTCTCCCCAGCAGCTGCTGTGTGGGTTCGAACTGAACTGCTAACCTTTGGGTTAACAGCCAAGTGCTTAACTATTTAGCCACCAGAGCTCCTTACATACCCTGCTAGTAGCTGATAAATCATTTAATAGGCCAGTTTAAGTTGAATCAATAATGATGGAAAGGATTAGTCTTAGGATTGTCTGGGCTCTCTGCACTTTGAAGGTAAGTCCCAGAAAGATAATGGTCTAAGTTAAAGTTATGGTTGAATGATGGAATGCTTAGTCATCATGAAAACAGCTGTTTAGTAAGGAGTTCCTTTGAGAGAGACTCAGGGAATTTGCTCAGAATGTTGTCTTTTGCTTTGCCTATACTTTGAGCCAGCAGTCTTCAGTACTGTCCCTGTGACTCTGTCAGGGGATCCACAAAATCAAAACTATTCTCATAATAATACCAATACATTATTTGCTGTTTTCACTCTCATTTCTCAAAAGTGTGCTGTGGAGTTTTCCAGCAGCTATATGATATGTGATGTTGACTTCACTCTAAAGGCTAATGGAACACATGTTTGTATGTTTTTATTTTTAAAATCCATCACTTTTAATTTCAAACATAGTATGTATCAGTAGATATAATTCACATTGAAAAGCAAGATCTTTGGGGTCCTCAATAATTTTTTAAATACGTAAAAAAGTCCTGACACGAAAATATTTGAGAACTGCTGCTTTCAGTTGTCCTGCCTAGTCTAGTGTCAACCCCGCTGAGAAACCAGCAATGTAGCAAACCGGAAGCTGGTGGTAATTCCTACTCATTGAAAAACTGTGTGAGCTGGTCAGTCTGCAAAGGGTGGGATCTAACAGCAAAATAAAAACAGTACATGTATGAAAGTGCCCCAAAACTGATGGGGTTATGTCAAAAGGACAAAAGTGCCAGCTTGAAGGATCTCCCACTGGCCAAATCAGGGACCATTTGAGCACTGTAAAGAATAATAAGAGTATTGGATTATAACACATAAGATTAAAAGTTTAGAATGCAAAAAAAAAAAAAAAAAAAAAACCCCAAAAAACAAAACTACAGGAGAAATCCTACTCTGCACATGCGATCACCATGAGTCAGAATTGACTGGACAGCAACCCACAAAAACAGCAGATTAAAGAGACTAAAGCGGCATGACAATTAAATTCAATGTGTGATCCTTAACTGGATCATAGATCTTAAAAACAGCTCTAGAGAATATTATTAGGAAAACTAGGAAAAGCTGAATATGGAGTGTGATAATGGAATTGTAGTTATATAGAAGAACACCTTCGATCTTAGGACATACGTGATGCGGTATCTATTGACAAACCAAATGTGGCAAAACGTTAGCAAACGGTAGATCTAGATGAAGGAGACCCTGGGGGTGCAAAAGATTGGAAATTATAGTCCAGCCAGAGGTGTCTTGGAAGAAAGTCCTGGTGATCTGTTTCCAAAAAATAGGTCATTGAAAACCTTACGGTTTATAGATTACTTTGACACCCATGAGGCCGCCATGAGTCAGAATCAACTCGATGACAATTGGTAGATTTAGGTGAAAGGTATTTGGTTTTCATTGTACTACTATTTCAACTTTTCTACAGGTTTACAATTTTAAAAAATATGAAGAAATGAGTGCAGAGAGCTATTTTAGCAAAAATAGCTCTGCTCCTCTTTTTCTTTCCTGACACTTTCTGTAGTTTAAAAGAAATATTCCCATTATAGAAGATATCTGTTTATCAGCAATATTGAGCACATGATGTGCTGGCTAACTATTTGCTCAGAACTCTGTAGCAGACATCAAGCAAAGGGAATTAAAAAAAATGCTGATACAGTCTCAGTCTTTGGGAACTGAACAGTTTCATTTGGGGAAATCATTAACTGAAGTGTTTTGTTCTTAGTGACTTTTCAACTTCTGGGTATGTCATAAATGTATACATCTTACTTCTAAAGCAAAATCCATCTGTCAGTGGAGGCTTGCCTTTGCTAAAATGCTGAACAGGTTTCGGCAGAGCTTCCAGACTAAAATGGAATAGGAAGAAAGATCTGTCGATCTACTTCCAAAAATTAGCCGATGTAAACTCTATGAATCACTTTGGTCCAATCTACAACCAATCATGGGGATGACATAAGACCCATATTTCGTTCCATTGTGCATGGGGTCACCATGAGTCAGGGCTGACCTGATGGCAGCTGATAATAACAACAGCACTCTTGTAACATCCCAGTGAGTTTGGTAACGTCGCTTCTTGTGACTCAGTTGTTTCCCTGAACTATTCATCAGCCTCTGCTCTTTCTTCTCTTGGGCAAAAGTCATAATCTCTGTTTAAAACTCATTACATAGATGTCTTTAGCATGCTTGAATTTCATTTTCCATCTGAACTCTTAATCAAAGAGGCCAATGCATCTTTTAGGGGGTGAGAAATGGAGGGGGAGGAAGGTTTCCCACACAAATGGAAAATATGAGGGTTATCACTCATTTCCACATTCCCCAAGAGAATATCATAAACCAAATATTTAGAGTTGACACTTTTAATTGTTCAGTATTTTAATACAAATATAAGAATCCATAATTAAATAACACATAAAAAGCTTAAACTAAATATATAAATATCAAATTTGATAGTAAAAAAGAAAGAAAAAAACCTTATGTTTTAGCTCCTAGGTCATTAGATATAGACAGAGAAAGCAAAAGATTCAGGAAGAGGACTAATTTGTTATTGGAAAGTTAGAACAATATTGTTAGAATGGAGGGATCTGTATGCCTGTATTTGCCTGATCTGCTATTGTTCAAAGTTAAATCACAGAAAAAGAAGCCAGAACAAAGTTTATGATTTGCTTGACTACTATACAAGAAATCCCCTAAATGTCTGTTTTTAAATATATTTTCATTATACGAGGCTGAATTCAGAACGATTAAAATAGGGCTGGGCATATTATGAGACAAGTGGGAAGGGAAAGCATTTTTTTTTTAATGTGAGTTTACTTATTCTGCTATAAAAATAGATAAGTAAACTTAAGGTTGCCAATGTTATTTCACGATAAATTCAGTCTCATTTTGGTTGTGGTAACCTCACAGCAGCACATGAAGGATAGCAGTGAAACCAGGGGTTCTAGCAAGACCGGTTATCAGCAAAGCAGCAGGCTGGTACTAGACTAGATACCAGGTGCTGGGAAAACAGAATCATGGACTTAAGAACAAGGGAAGAAGGACCATGAAAAGAAACATAAAACACAGTCTCAGAAAAAGTTCTTTGGTCCTTAATCTTTCCATGACCTTCCCTCTCTTTCTCATTTCTTTTCTTTTTGCTTGTTCCTTTTTTTCCTGGAACTGCATCAGTTTTTAGAACTGAGTGGCCAGTGATCTATCCAGCTCCAACATGTATGCTCATTGAAGTAAAGTGACTAGCCTAGGGCTGCCACCAGCAAGAGCCAAAGCCAACGTGTGCACCCAGGGCTCCTGATTCTAAGTCCAGCGTCCTTTCAATAGCACAACACTGCATTGCTTTACAAAATCAAGTCCTCCAACAGACCTGCGAGGAAAAATGACTTCCTCTTGGAGCTCAAAACAGTACTGAGTAGATTAGATGGCAGTAGAAAGTCTGGAATTCTGAGGCCTTTTGCTTCTGCCTCTTTTGTTCTTTTAGTCCCATGGAGAATGACCATTTTTCCTCCTGCTTCAAATTCAAGTAGACCAGGAAATAACTTTCAGGGTTTTGTGTGACTCCTCTAGGGCTCTGGATAAAGGAAAGACCAAGACATTGACTTATTATTATTACTGATTTATTATTTCTATCCTAATAGGTTTTAAGAAGATAAATAACAGTAGCATCAATAAACATGAGGAAGTGGATATATCTAACCCAACAGGATGTGAGTGGACTATGACTCTCTTTAAAAGGACATAGCTGATCCCAGGAAACAATGGCATGAAGAATCACCTAAGACAACAAATAAAGGAATACATTCAGAACTCCTAACGTTCTAAATGTATTTTATAATACCTTGAGCTTCGTTTCTTATGGATACTACCTTGTTGCACATCAGGTTGGGAATGATCACAAAGTAGATGGATGGAGGCCCTTTCGAGGGAAACCGGCATTCTAGAGCATAAACTGGGAGGAGACAGGCCTCCCTAAAGGACAGGTAGGTAGTGAAATAAAAAGATCTGGAATTTATTTTTGGCACTACCTCTTGATCTATGTTCCAGCTTAGGCAATTCTTAACCAGATCCTGCAAAGCTCTGCATTTTTAAACCCTGACATTTCCAGCACCAACCATCTGTAGTGAAGGACTATTTTTTCCCCCAACATAGGTCAATACTTTTGTAAAATACAACAAAAGTGTATTATTAGAAAAATGGAATGAGATAACAGAGAAAGGTAAAATACAATCCATTTTTAATTAGATTCAGAAGACATAAAATTACTCTGTCAAATTGCTATCATAGTGTCTAAGCATTGATTCTCAGTTCTGTACTTGTTTTGCTGTAGACTGGTAATAAACAGTTCTTGGCTGGGCAGCCATCTTCAGATCGTCCTTTGAGTAACAATGCTCTAAAATATGAATGGCTTTTCTGCCTCAGTGCCTTCACATGTGCGATTCTGCTGCTCGGAGCCACTACTCCCTTCTCTCCTCCATGGCTGGCTTAGTTTCTCCATTCAGGTCTCTGATTAAACATCATCACTTTAGAGATAAAGTAGTCCTCTCCTCAAGTAATTCTTCTGTACTGAATTCTATATAATATTTCCTTCTACTTTTCTCAGGTTTTAAGAATACATATTTATTTGCTGATTTACTTATTGTCTCTCTGCCCTACTAGCCTGTAGACTCCATCAGAGCCATAATATCCTGTTTCACTCACCATAACATTACTGGTGCTGATTACACTGTCAAGCACATGGCAAATTCTTAATAAATATAGGTAAAATGAATGAATGAAATTAACCTGTAACCTTCTTACAGATTTCATCATCTGTAAGATGGAAATAGCAATAACTTCCTTATAGATTACAGTGAGAATTAAATGCAATAATATATAATGAGTCTTGCATAGTGTAAGCAAGCATAGGTGCTATGGATGAATTGTGTCCCCCAAAAATGTATGTCAAATTGGCTAGGCATTGATTCCCAGTATTGTGTGATTGTTCACCATTCTGTCATCTGATGTGATTTTCCTATGTGTTGTAAATCCTACCTCTATGATGTTAATGAGGCAGGATTAGAGACAGCTATGTTAATGAGGTGGGACTCAATCTACAGGATTAGGTTGTATCTTGAGTCAGTCTCTTTTGAGATATAAAAGAAAGAATTGAGCAGAGAGACAGAGGGACCTCATACCACCAAAATGTAGTGCCAGGAGCAGAGGGCGTCCTTTGGACCTGGGGTCCTTGACTAGGGGAAGATTGCTGACAAGGACCCTCCCCCAGAGCCAACATAGAGAGAAAGCCTTCCCCTGGAGCTGGCACCCTGAATTCGGACTTCTAGCCTCCTAGACTGTGAGAGAATAAATTTCTCTTTGTTAAAGCCATCCACTTGTGGTATTTCTGTTATAGCACCACTAGATGACTAAGACAATAGGTATATTACAAATATCAATTTCTTCATTTGTATGATGTACATAAACCAAATGCTTACTGTTTGTGCAGTAAAAAATAAAGAAAAAACAGACCATTCATGAAGGTTTAGAATTAAAATTTTAAAAGCTTCCATTTTTTTTCTAGTTGTCACTACAGAAATGCATAGGTAATCATTTAAAAGTTTACGATGACAAGGAATGGCGAAGACTGACACAAGCACAAAGAATGTGCTTACAACTAGAAAATGTGGTTGAAACATCCATTGTTAATCAATATTTAGTATATGATGTATATCTGATACACAAGCCAAATATTCCAACACTTAGTTTCATTATTCTATTTCTATTCTGTCAAATCTAATTACAGTTAAATGTAGCCATTTAATAAACTTGATTTCATAAATTAGCCAGCTTATTTGCTTTTTGATTATCCTTGTAAGTCTATCAAACACATTTTTGAAAGATTTCTCTAGCTCTCTCTCAAATGAATTAGGTTTCCTCCTTAAGAAAGAGAGGGTAGGTAGTATGTTATCACAGCATGAAGGCAACATAATAAAGGACTATTTCATAAAATAAACTACCCTTACCTCATATAACCACAATACAAGGAGTCCATAGAGTTCACTACCATGGTATTATTCGAATGCAATTAATACTACCATTAAATTACAAAGTTTCAGAATTGAATGTGTCCTTAAAGAGTATCTGGTCCAGTAGATTTTAAACATCTTGGCACAGTCACATCAGGGCTTTGGCACGTGTTGAATGTGTTACATATCACCATCTTGCCCCACCTTTAACCCCCTCCAATGACAATAGCTCCACTTTGTTTTACATACTGGTTTGACGTTTTGAGAATGTGTTCAATACCTAAATTAGATTTCAAACTTTATTCAGTGGATGAATTACTTCCACTATACCCTACCTTCCTTTTTTTTTTAAATTCCAACTACTATTTAAATACCTCCAGGGAAGTTGTGGGGCCGATGAATCTCTGAATACTTTGAGATAAGCAATAAACCAGTCTCCTTTAACTTAAAAGCATTTGCTTTAGATCTCTAGTCCTTTTGTCACATAAACATCATTTAAACATTTTCAGAACACTCATTGTGTTCTCCTTTTACCCCAACCACATTCCCACTTCCAAAGTTTTCTCTTCTCAGATCTAAGCATCTTCATTTCCCCAAGTGCTATGACTTTATTTTGAACTGCCAATCTGCAATAACAGAACCTATAGTTTTATATATATGACCTAACTATTAGCTGTAATGTAGAATAACATTCCAAATCACAGGATGGTTCTCTTTAGAGAACACTAGAATAACTTTAAAAAAAATCCTTAAGACTGATTTTGATTGATTGATTTTGCATCTGATTCAAAAAGGCTTTTCTTTCTCTAATATAATGTTCTTGTATCCACTATATCCTTACCCTATCCCCGGTAGGGCTATGCTTTACTCACAGCTCTTGCTAAAAGAGAACGTTTTAGGATTCTTCTGGACTCTAGAATGCCTAAGGACTGGCTGGAGTACTGGTTAATTTACAGATACCCAAGGTCAACCTAGAGATGCTGATTCATTATCTTTTCATGTGGTAATATCCTTTTTTAAAATAAATAAATAAATAAATAAAGCTCTATAGGTGATGCTGGTAAAGGTGGTTTGCTGACCACATTTTGAGAAACTGTCTTAGCCAGCAATGTTTTGTACCATGCAATCTATTCCCTTTGTGAGGTACAGGTGACTTCACTGGGGGTAAGCACCTGATCCATAGGTTGCTCAGAATTCCATGAACAAGAATAAAAGGAGTAAATCCATTAGGTTCCCTGTCTTGGGACTTCGAATGAAAAAGTAAGTAGGAGAAAGAAAGAAGCTAGCTGTGGGAGCTAGGACTGGAAGATTGTATTGGGCCATCTATGAACCAACATTATGACAGAACAGAAACTACTTGCAAGCAGAAACAATGAGGTATGTTTATGACACATAGGATAGAGGGTGAAGGAATTGGTGAGTGGAGACAAAAGGGAACAACTTAGTCATGCTAAAGTAGGAGAAACTAGATAAAAAATCCACGACTCACTGCCCGATATGGCAGCTTTGGGTCTACAACCACCTTCAGGTAGCTGCTGTCCCTGAAGTCTGGGAGTTTAGTTTTCCTGGAAACCCACTCACACGCATCCTTATAGTAACTATCCTCGTTCCACCCCATGACTTGCAATAACTTTACTGACTGTTCTCCCTACCAAAAAACAAAAAGTCAAACAAAACAGTTTCTCTTCTTCAAATAGGAAAAAAAAAAAAAAATCCAAATATCAAGAAATCGATTTTAGGCATCACACACTTTAGTATACACAAGCTTTTGGCTCATGTATTTTCATTGCCTATATGTAAATTGAAGAGGAATGGCGTTGCATCCATCATCAAAAAGAACATTTCAAGATCTATCCTGAATCATAATGCTGTCAATGACAGGATAATATCCATACACCTACAAGAAAGACCAGTTAATACAACTATTATTCAATTCAAATTTACCCACCTACTACTTAGGCTAAAGATGAAGAAATTGATGAGTTTTACCAAGTTCTTCAGTCTGAAATTGATCAAACATGCAACCAAAATGCACTGATAATTACTAGTGATTGGAATGCGAAAGTTGGAAATAAAGAAGTATCAGTAGTTGGAAAATATGGCCTTGATGACGGAAACAACTCCAGATCGAATGATGGAATTTTGAGATACCAACGACCTATTCATTGCAAATACCCTTTTTCAACAACATTAATGGCGACTATACACATGGACCTCGACAGATGGAATACACAGGAATCACATGAACTATATCTGTGGAAAGCAACGATGGAGAAGCTCAATATCATCAGTCAGAACAAGGCCAGAGGCTGATTACAGAACAGACCATCAATTGCATGTATGCAAGTTTAAACTGAAGCTGAAGAAAATTACAGCAAGTCCACAAGAGCCAAAATATGACCTTGAGTATATCCCACCTGACTTTAGAGACCACCTCAAGAATAGATTTGATGCATTGAACACTAATGACCAAAGACCAGATGACTTATGGAATGACATCAAGCACATCATACATGAAGAAAGCAAAAGGTCATTAAAAAGACAGGAAACTAAGAAAAGATCAAAATGG